GAAAATTATGCTAAAATAGCAAGCTCCTTACAGATGGTAGCCTCGGACAATGAAGAGCAACGGGACACAAGGCGGGAGGCCGCTGCGCTGTGTAACAAGCTTGAGAAGCTGGAGACCGCGCTCATGACCATGTTTTGGGACACTGTGCTGCACCGATTCAAGCTGACAAGCAATAGCTTACAGAAGAGAGAGATGGACCTGATGACTGCTGTGCGGCTTTTGGAGTCACTGCACACTTATGTTGCATCACTAAGAGGACAATTTGGTGACTTTGAGACATCTGCCCGGGCCATCACAGGTGTGACACAGGCCGACCAATCCGAGACCCACCGCGTGAGTAAAAGAAAAACCTATGATGATGAGACAGTTGACAATGAAGTGGTGCTCACTGGGAGTAAAAAGTTTCAAGTTGAGACATTCAATGTGATTATTGACAGTTTGCTGTCAGGACTGAAGAAACGGCTGGATGCTTATAAAGACATTAATGATCGTTTTGGTGTCCTATTTGACATGGACTGTGCGGACACTGATCTCTTCAAACGGGCCAATGCTCTCTCATCTTCATATCCATCTGACTTGGATAATTCTTTATCTGATGAGCTGATCCAGTTTAGGTCTTTTGTCAGCACTGAGCAAGATAAGACACCTGCAAATCTATTGCAGATTGTGCAGAGGAATGGACTCCAGACAACATTCCCCAACGTATTTGTTGCTCTCAGGCTTTTTCTCACACTGCCTGTATCCAACTGTGAGGGAGAGAGGTCCTTTTCACAACTAAAAAGAATAAAAAACGAACTCAGGACAACTTTGGAGAGAAGAGACTTTCTGCACTGTCCTTAATGGCCATAGAATCTGAGCTGGTGAGGGAGCTGGACTTTGAGGACTTGATTTGCAACTTTGCAAAGAAAAAGACCAGAAAGAAGAACTTCTAAAGGTAAGAACCATTGTGCTTTATGTGAAGTGAGTAGGCCACTATAAACTCTTATGATTGTGCAGATAATACATGTATTTTGCTTATTCTATTATGCTGTTTGCACAACATGTATCTTGCTTAATTCATTGTGGTGTGATGCAGAGAGTTATAGTGCTGCATATTTGTTGTTTTGCAGCGTTAAGTTATCCAGCTGACTTGGTGACAGAATACAACCTGCACTCAGTTGTGTTATGTGATGGCATTGTTATATCTTCAGTCAGTAACATTTGAGAAGTACTGGTGGAGGTTCTGCTTGGGTGCTTTTCTGTGAACACTTTATTGTCATAATCCTTAGCCATGCACTGGGCTGTGATGATTTTTTTTATTTCATTGTTGTTGTGTAATTTGTTAGAGAGATGACAGTGCTTTATTTCTCATTCTGGAAAGGCGAGTATATGTATATATATATATATATATATATAATTTAGGTTAGAGACGGGGCCTGGTGAGTCTCAGTGCCCAGGGCCCCTGGTGTTGCTAATCCGGCCTTGGCCTTGAGGCGTCCATGCTCGTCCTCATCTGAAGCGCGCACACGTGTCGGGAGTTCACAACACACACTGCATGCAAAAAACAATATCTCAAAAACGATAACAGCACAAACTAAACATTTGACAGCACAAACGATTGACATATTTGTTATACAATTTTGAATATGATCGTTGTTCATAAACAACGCGCTGCATTTACAAAAGCTACTATTTACGCAGTAACAGGAACCAAACTGCTTATTTATCCTGTAAATGAAACGCTGTCCTGAGAGATAGAGTGAATAGCGATGTTCACTGCGTGGCGCCAGTATCAAAGCCTGACCATGCTGCTTAAACGTGACAGTATCAAAGCCTGGCCATGCTGCTTAAACGTGACAGTATCAAAGCCTGGCCATGCTGCTTAAACGTGACAGTACTAAAGCCTGACCATGCTGCTTAAACGTGACAGTATCAAAGCCTGGCCATGCTGCTTAAACGTGACAGTATCAAAGCCTGACCATGCTGCTTAAACGTGACAGTATCAAAGCCTGGCCATGCTGCTTAAACGTGACAGTATCAAAGCCTGGCCATGCTGCTTAAACGTGACAGTACTAAAGCCTGGCCATGCTGCTTAAACGTGACAGTGACAATACAACAGCACGTGCAATTCCCAGTATCTCCTTGACATGAAGTTTTGTTTTGCCTTTGGAGTAAGGTTATAGTTTTTGTATAGAATACAACATTAAATTAATAATGCAATTGTGCAAGTTGGCAAAATGAACATTACTATTGTTGCTAAGCAAAAAATCATGCTGACTATTTTGTTGTGGTAGTGGCATTAGTCAGTGGTGGCACAGTTTGGATTTTAGTTGGTTCAGGAGGGGATATTACCTCACTTATAGGCAAGGGTGCAATTTGTCAAAAAAACAGAAGGGGGGATAGTTACTCAATCACTTTATTGTATAAAAAGCACATACATTTTAAGCTGTTAATCTTGAAATCCAGTGTTTTAAGATGTGTTCTAACTGTCCAGTAGTAGCTCAGTGTGTGTGGAGTGGGGGGTGAAGTTGATGCCGCTGTGTGCAGGGCGTCCGTGCCTGTGTGTTTTGGGCGGAATATAAGCGCGCACAGCCCAATTCAATGCGTAATGATCCAGCCTATAGCCTACTCCGAGGCAGATATTTATATATGAGACGCATAGGTCTATGTTATGTGTTCCTCTGTATAGTTTGGATTACATTCATTGAGGAGCAGTGAGAATGACAGGAGATGAGACTTCAAATGGCCTGTGCATAGACGACTGAAGGAGGGGGCGACCCCTCCAGAGCACGTGTTGCTCAGGGAGTTGGGCCGTTTTGGAAAACTCTTGATGATCAAACTAACCCATGTAGTGTGACCAGGGCGACAGGTGTCTGTCTTTTTTGAGGGCCAGAGCTGGAAATGTTACAGCATGCACATGTATGCGCACGGCTAGCACTTCTCAGAACCCAATTAGAACCGTGCGTAAAGGTTCCTCATCCTGTTTTGTCAAACGGGATCCCCCGTGGTCCCCGCAGGCTGCCCGCGGATCGGGTCCGGTCATAAAAGTCTCCTTTAATCGGGGGCCGGGTTGGGGCAGTTGCCGCCACTCATTGCCGCCATGCGCGCATTCATAGTTCAGCCACGATTCAGTCTATCATCTTTACAGCGTGTTTTTAGACGTAAAATAAGCAGCGTTTTGCTGCTTGTGGTCCAGAGAACGCTTTTTCCACGGCATGTGCGTCTGTGCGCGACTTCTGTCAATCTCCTGCAGCGCTCTGCACAGAGAGAAAGAGCGCGAGGGGTTAAGACTCGCCAGTCCTGTTCATTTCAAGCTCATTTCTGTATGTGTGCAAAATAGATTTAACTGATCATAAAGTCAATCCAGATACATAACACAGTTCCCTGTGCATATTCATTCATCAGAAATGACACATGCACTCGAAAAGTCCACTCTCACAATACAGTTCCCCGGGCCTGTGCCATCCCGGGAGCGCGTCAGCTTTTAGGCATTCATAAGAGAGGGGAAAAAACACCTATTTGCAAAGTCCTGCAAAAATCCTGGTGCTGGTGACGAGACATGAACCATGAGTGTTTCTAACTCCGCAGACCCTCGCTCTCTGCAGAGTATAGACCCCGTGCGCATCAAAGCCGCTAAAGCAGAGATCACTGCGTCTCATGTAAATTTAAATCAAATGGCCAGCAGGTGCACAGCCAATTTTACAAGAAAACCAGCAAATCGCACCCTGCTCATAGGATGTCTGTTCCAAACGTTCTCGTGCTGCTTTTGCCTGTGTGTTTAAGTTTTTATTCAGCACATAACATCAAATTAATGAAATAACGCCTAAAGCTGTCCAATAAGCTTAACTTTTGAATTTGGTGGTCCACATTTTATGTTGTGCTCCTTCAAAACCGTAAGAATTCTAAGTAATGGGAAATATTGGCCCCCTCCGGTCCTGGTGCCACCCCCAGGCTACCTCAGAAATCATTTGTGGACACGGAACTGGTTTTGCTGTAGTTGTGCTGTTGTTGTAGTGCAAAAGTTTTAACTTTCATATCTAAATACATAGTCTTCAAATAAACCGTATTAGTTCAGGAAGAAACCAAGAAATGAATCCTAGTCTCATGTGATAGCCTTTCGGCTTCATTACTGAGCTATACCACACATGGCAGCTTGCTGTGTAATTTAAGGTGTTTCTCACACATTGCTCCTTGAGAGCATTGTCATTGCATTCTCACATCATTAACCTTTCCGTCTCAGAATGTGATCAAATTCACAAAATTAATCTTTAATTCAAAAGCAAAAAGAATGTCTTACACATGCTTTAGGTGACCAACACATGCCAATTTAACATTTAAAGTATATAAAAAAAAACATGTTTTCTTATATATAGTTTAAAAGTCTGCATCATCGTGTTAAGAGATTAATGAAAAATGTGTGCCAAAGTGACATATTGTCATTGAGCCAAATTCACGCCCATAGATGTGGACTTGGATGTAGATGTGGACTTGGGTGTAGATATGGACTTGGATGTAGATGTGGACTTGGGTGTAGATATGGACTTGGATGTAGATATGGACTTGGGTGTAGATATGGACTTGGGTGTAGATATGGACTTGGGTGTAGATATGGACTTGGGTGTAGATATGGACTTGGATGTAGATATGGACTTGGGTGTAGATATGGACTTGGGTGTAGATATGGACTTGGGTGTAGATATGGACTTGGGTGTAGATATGGACTTGGGTGTAGATATGGACTTGGATGTAGATATGGACTTGGATGTAGATATGGACTTGGGTGTAGATATGGACTTGGATGTAGATATGGACTTGGGTGTAGATATGGACTTGGGTGTAGATATGGACTTGGGTGTAGATATGGACTTGGATGTAGATATGGACTTGGGTGTAGATATGGACTTGGGTGTAGATATGGACTTGGGTGTAGATATGGACTTGGGTGTAGATATGGACTTGGATGTAGATATGGACTTGGGTGTAGATATGGACTTGGGTGTAGATATGGACTTGGGTGTAGATATGGACTTGGGTGTAGATATGGACTTGGATGTAGATATGGACTTGGGTGTAGATATGGACTTGGATGTAGATATGGACTTGGATGTAGATATGGACTTGGATGTAGATATGGACTTGGGTGTAGATATGGACTTGGATGTAGATATGGACTTGGGTGTAGATATGGACTTGGATGTAGATGTGGACTTGGGTGTAGATATGGACTTGGGTGTAGATATGGACTTGGATGTAGATATGGACTTGGATGTAGATATGGACTTGGGTGTAGATATGGACTTGGATGTAGATATGGACTTGGATGTAGATATGGACTTGGATGTAGATATGGACTTGGGTGTAGATATGGACTTGGGTGTAGATATGGACTTGGGTGTAGATATGGACTTGGGTGTAGATATGGACTTGGGTGTAGATATGGACTTGGGTGTAGATATGGACTTGGGTGTAGATATAGATATTGGCTTACAGATAGATATAGGCTTGGAGTTAGCCTAGACTATGATAGAGCTTTGATAACATAGACACGAGAACCACTCAATATGCATAAGCATTGATTGTGTCCCTTTTTTGTCTCATGATAGAGTTCATCACTTCCGGTTGCCTGGGGTGAGTAACCCTTCACATCAACCCTGCAGGAATGTACATCTCAACAATTTGTTAATGTTACAGAACAGAATGTTACGGCTTGAAGACGAGGAGATACAGGCTCAAATAAAATGCCTTCTGGAGAATCCCTTTTTACAACAAAATCTCCAAGAAGATGGGTTTTGGGGTGTCTTGGCAAACTGGGAATTCCAAATAAACCAGAACATTGCTACAGATTAAAGCAATTGCCTCATTCATGCTACACATGTTGCATTCTGTAGAATGAGCCATGCATTTGATTTTCCTTCTGACATGTAACCATAAGTGTTTGCTTCTGTATTGTATACATTTCACAAAATGACAACAGCTCCAGATGGCATACTGTCATTCCTTCTATTCCTTATGTTGTATATTTTAAATATAGACTAAAGGCAGATGTGAATTTGATTGACCCGGAATTGAACTCTTGTCTCTTTCCCAAGCAAAAAGACCTGTGCCCTCAGGGATTAAGTCACAAGGACACAGGATAAGCAGACGGGAATTATAAAAAGATATCGCCTTTGAACAAGGCGAATTATTAACGTTCGATAATAAACATTATCTGCTGACAGAGCAAAAGTCCCTCACCATCAGGCGGAAAGGGAATTCACCAACAGCATTCTAACGCCTCCCAGTGGACAAGGGACGTCAGCACACCCGGAAAGCCCCACCCTTGGACGCGTATGGATGACGTCATCGGAAGTCTCCCGTATATGTGCCCTCGGAGGGTTTTGAGGTCAGACAGGACAGGGGCAACGGACAGGGAGAGAGCAGGCATAGATTAAGAGCACTCTTTTGTTGAATATTCTGTATCTGATTGTAAAGATAATTAAATGCAGATGTTAAACTTGGAGAATCTTTTTGTCTGATTTCTGTATCAAATTGTGGACACGTCAGCCAAAGGGAATTATTGGCTTCATTTGGTGACCCGAGACGTGATTTGATACAGAAAGAAGACGCAAGATGAGCTCAGATATAGACTGGGTCCGTCGGCCGGGAGAATTCTCTCTTCTCTTCTCTCTTCTCTTTGAAAGAGGTAAGCGGATCGTTACTTTTGAAAATCTGCACATTGTTTTAAATGGAAGAGAGAGAGAATTCGGCTCGGCGGACTGCAGCGTGGCCAGACGACCGCCGTGACGGGCGATTCTATCGGACGCGATAGAACAATAGTCAGGTTTAGACGTTTTTGGCCTTGGGGGAAGCATGGGTCCCTCCAAAAAAAACAGAACATAGATGATGGATCAGAGCCACAGAGTTTATAAGTGCAGAAGAGGCACACCGTTTAGAGTGCAAAAGAAGCACACCGTTTTAAAGTGCAAAAGAGGCACAAGTGTTTAGAGAAATAGAATTAGATAAATAGGGACAGTTAGGGTCAGAAGTTATAGGATAATGAAAACTCCATATCCCCCGGGGGGGGGGGCGGGGAAAAAGGGTACATTTAAACAGAAAAAAGCCAAGTATTTAAAATGTGGATTCTGATAATAATGATCTGATTAATGAGAAAAGAAGGAGCCACTTGGCTGTAACTATGAGTTTTCATGTGAAGAAATGACAAAAGATCAGTCTGGGAGTTTTTCTCTTGTATTCTGATGTAATGTTTCGATAGTTACAGAGAATCAGGAAAAAAAAAGATTCTGCTGGAACCCTCGATACATTAATCAGGTAGCAAATGGTAATGTTTTCCATTACTGACGTATTTAAGGATAAAATGTAAAGTGTCGTTTGATGTGAGAAAAACTTTTACCACTGATTAAAACCTTGTCACGAGAAAAACGAGGAAAATGTAGCAAAAGGGGGTGTATTTCAATCATCCATGTGTTCCTTTGTTCGAGAAGCCCCTCAGCCCCTCCCCTCCCTCTTTCTGTCCTCTCTCTCTCTCTCTCTCTCTCTCTCTCTCTCTCTCTCTCTCTCTCTCTCTCTCTCTCTCTCTCTCTCTCTCTCTCTCTCTCTCTCTCTCGTGAAGACAGAACTATTACCAAAGACATTTTTTGTTTTGTAGAAAATTACATATATACACACGATAATGTTACTGACATGGAGTCATAGGATCACAGAACTTTGAGTTAGATTATAAAGAGGCATTATTTTATGTTTTATTTTTTATCTCCAAGGCGTCTGGACAAGTTTTTCCTACATTTTGGTGATATAAAAGTTAGAATGATCTTAGAGAGCATTATGCTTTTGGAAAAATAGGGCTTAGGATAGCAGTTGAATGCAGAATTGGTTTTCAGAATTTAATGTTTAAAATGTTAATATTAATTATTTCATAGGTTTATTTTGAATTGTAATTAATCATTGGTTTCGTATGGTAATTAACACACTTGTTTGTGCTTCTTGTTTGTCTGTTTTTTCCGAGAAAACTTCTGTCTGTTTCATTTGGCCAAAATCGTCTGCCACAAGACCTCAATCGGGCGCCATCAGCACGGACCATCAGCGTCTCCCCCAGACCCACAGGGGGCACCAAAGACTGCAGCATCGGCTGCAGCAGCTAACAGGAACTCTCGAAGAAGACTTCTCCTGCCTCCATTCCTGTGAGGAGGCAAAGAAAAGACCGCAGACTTTTTCACAAACAGAGTGTTGTCCCATCTACGGAACAGAAGGTGGCGGTAATGCGAAAAATAGGCCGCCAACCGCCGGAAAACCAAACAAGAAGAAGAAGGACACGACACATTTGGGTGCGTCAGATATGAAAGAAGAAGAAAGAAAGTGATTGTTGAAAGAAGAAGAAAGACATTGTGAGAAAGAGTTATCGGAAGAAGAAAGAAAGTGATTGTTGAAAGAAGAAGAAAAAAGACATTGAGACAAAGACATTGGACACTTTGAGACAAAAGACATTGAAAGACGCCATGAGTAAAAGAAAGACATTAACGGACATTTGAGACGTGGCTGGCCTAAATGAGACACACAGAAGGTAAATATACAGACAGACAACAAACGCACAGAGACATATTAAGTCATATTTACACATTTAGGTCATTCGTTCATAACACCACATTTAGCTGCATGAAAGAATACAGGACAATCGTTAAAATTAATTCGACTCTTGCTTTAGCATGAGACACAAGGAGATTAGAACAGCAGTATATTTAAGGTAGAGGAACTCTATTATTGAAACTAGTATTATTATTTAAAGTTATAGACGCGGAGAAGTTTAGAATTATTGATTTTGACTGCATGATCTTGGTAATACGGATATTTAAGGCAATTTTTCAACCTCTGAACCGTGGCTTGTTAATCATTTAAAAACAATCACATGCACAGTTGAGACTGGTGCTAGAAAGAGAACTGCAGCTTTTAATGGACGCTGCATTTAGTACAACAAGTGGTTTGTTCAGACAATTAAAGTTTGAAAAATGATTTAAAGCATTTTCTGAATTTTGGCCAAAGGTGATGTTCTGCCCTCAATAAACTTAATCTAGGCAGACAGATAACCGGAACAATGACGACACCGGTGTTTGCTTTTCCAGGCTTTTATCATTGTAAGAATGGTAAAACTGCAACAAATAAAAAAACAGCCTCAAGTTGTGCATTCAAACAAAATACAATACAACATATAACACTGTCAAGGTGCCTCTGAAAAATACGAGGCCAATGCTAATGCTAACAGCACCACATTAGCGGCGCTAGCATACTGCGCTAGCATTCGGGGCTAGCATTTGGAACTAATTAAAACACATCCACAGAATAACACACTAGGGAAAATACAACAGTTAAACTTACTCAATGCTAACACACAGATTAAACAAACTCACAGGCTGTGCTGGCTCAATCACTTCAATGTGATCTACCACTGGAGCTGAATCATGTTTGATAACTGGAATAACTGTTGACCGTTTTTCCACTTCCGGTTAGCCAGGAAGTCACTTCAAAATAAAACTATTTACATACAAAAAATAAATCATTGGCTCAAAAGGAGCCAGAACACTCCCCGCCTGACATCGGTGAGATGTCACACTTGAAACCACAAATATTATTCAGACAAAAGAATGACAACATCTGTGACTGGTCTGAAATAAACTCTAGGAGTCCCATCTTTAACCACTTTAACTCCAACCTTTCTAACAAGTCCATCTGCACTTGAGTGAACCTTCTCAATTACCCCCATCGGCCATTGATTTCTCTTCACAAGGGAATCCTTCAGGAGGACCACATCTCCCTGCTTTAGGTTGGGTCGTTTGGTGTGCCACTTGCGACGACTTTGCAGCGTTGAAAGGTACTCCTTTTTCCATCGATGCCAGAAGGAGTTGGCAAGACTCTGTACTCTTCTCCACTGCTGACGGAGTAGATCTTTCTCATCGAAGTCCCCTTGAGGTGCATGAAGAACTGCTACCTTCTGCGTCAAAAGTGTGGCAGGAGTGAGGATGAACGGTGAGTCTGGGTCGGTTGACACAGGAACCAACGGCCTTGCGTTCATGATGGCACCCACTTCGGCTAGGAAGGTGGTCAGGACGTCGTGGGTAAGGTGCTGGGATCCAACTTGTGAAAGCTGGGAGTCTAAAATCTTACGAGCTATGCCTATCATCCGCTCCCAACTACCCCCCATGTGTGATGAGTGTGGCGGATTAAAGACCCACGTACAACCGCTTTCGTTAAGGAAAGACTTCACCTTAGGGTCGGCAGGTATCTCACTAGCAAACCCCAGCTCCCTACAGGCCCCAATGAAATTTGTCCCACAGTCTGATCTCAACTGTTTTGCTGGGCCTCTAATCGAAAAGAACCTGCGGAGCGCATTTATGAAACTAGAGGTGTCCATACCCCCTATGACCTCTAGGTGGACTGCCCGAGTACTCATACAGGTAAACATCACTGCCCAACGTTTACTGTTTGCGAGCCCACCCCGAGTGCGCCGCGAGGTTACTGCCCATGGTCCA